TTTTTTTCCAGTTAAAAGAGCAAAATTTGACTACTTTTTACGCTTTTTAGAGGTTGTTTTGCAAACATCTCTCTACACGCCCCCTCCCCCCCCAATCGTTGACCCTTCGCACGGGCCCTGGATGTGGATGAGCTCTAGGTGTGAAGATTGATGCGACGTAGATAAGATTTAAAATAAGAGAATTATGCTTTCTGTTATAATATTTCCTTTGATTAACGGGATGCATACCCGGAGATACTGTAGTCGTTGATGATATGGCATTAATTTGATTGAATTTTTTTTCTTCTTTTATCTTTTTGATTTTGCCGCCTATAATTAATTTGGTGATCAAACCACTAATTTTTTGGTGATCAAAACTCAACTTTTTGGTGATCAAAAAAATGCTCACCCAATATACAATGTGGTCAAATGATACGAATTGCTTATTATTATTAGGATGAGTCAGGTGTTTTTCGTCATACAACATTAAATCATATTAAGTATGCATTTATCAATGGTGACCATGGAATTATTCATATACTTGATTTATATATTTATATAACAAAAGTTAAAGTAATAGAAAATACGATGAAGTAAAATTTACAAATTTCTTTTCAAAAATCTTCATCTTGAAAACAAATGATGCAAAAACAAGATTTGGCTTAGCACTTCAATATAGAAATATTGATGTAAATTATTTGTGGTTTCTTTTAAATAGTTTCAATTATCTGTTTCTTGGAAAATGATGAAAATTGGTTTGAAAAATTTCTTGTTGTTTTTATTTTATTTTTTTTGTTTAGCTGAAGTACGATAAGATGTTAGTAGACAATTTCAAATTGAAATCTTATTAGGGAATGTTGAAGAACACGTGAAATTTCTTAGACAATGCAATCAAAGTAATATTTTATATTTTTTCTCTATGAGATTGAATTATGTTATGTCTTTTTTTATACAATAGAATCATTTGATGAAAAAGTAATATATTATGGATAAAAAAATACTCTCATGTTAATACTTCGTTCGAGAGGGTTTTAAAAAAAAATTAAAGCAATTTAGAAAGTTTTATTTTTCGTTTTCTAATATCTTCAATAGAAAGTCTTGAAAACTAGTTATACGTTTTCACGTAAATATACCAATTCTTTTGAGATATTAAATAATTTCTAAACAATCTTTAATTGTATTCAACACATCATTTATCTAAAGTTTTCTGTACCGTTGTATAAAGAAGTTTATGATGATTCTCGAAGTTTATTGCGACATTGAATGATAACATGTTTTTTTTAAAAGACATTTCAAATAATCACCATGTCATAGTTAGTTTAGTTTATTTTCTCTCATTGATATTCATTAGAATGTAGGTTAAAATAAAATAAGAAGAATTTTTATGTTCTATTTCAAAAATGGTATAAGCCGGTAGATTGAAACTTGAACAAAGTTATTATTACTTGTTCTTTGTTTAATTGATACGTTAGATATGAAATAATAAGATAGACCTACATTTAATCAATATTAATCTCGTGTTAAATTTAGAAATTCAAAAGAAAATATTTATTTATTTTAGTTACCTGAAATAAATCTAAATGCTAAATTAATTTTACCACCATGTCCAATAAGTCAACAAGAATCGAAGCAAATTTAATATCAAAAACATAACAGAAAAGTTTGCCGTAAATCTTCATATTGATGAAACAGCAACAAGTGATTGAGATTGGGCTGATGATGAAGTACCAATTGAAAGTGATGACGATGATCTTAATAATAATCAAGATGAAGGTTGAGGTGATACTGAAATTGAATTATCACCTGATCTTGTATGTTTTTATTCAAATATATTCACGTTCACGTACAGCTTTTACAGCACTTCCATCATTATCATCATTATATGCATATTTCATTAAGAAATTGGTTTGTATTTGTTCATTTAATAAATATTTTAAAATTTTTATTTTAATTATTAAGGCGTGAAGTCCATTCACCGAAACTATTCTATCCAGCAGTTGGACGTCTTCAAATCGCTTATCGTTTAACAACAAATGGAAAATTTCAAGAAGCTGTTGAAAAATTTCGTTCAATATTATTATCTGTTGCATTATATATTGTTGAATCACGTCAAGATATTCTTGAGAGTCAACAATTAACTGAAATATGTAAAGAATATATTGTTGATTTACAAATGTTAATGGCAAAAAAAAGATTTAGCAAAAGATGATCATGACATTAAAATCTTCACTTAAGCATTTGAAATTAAAAAATTATAAAGCTGCAACAAGCTTTGCCATACGTTTATTGGAATTGGAACCAGCATCTGATGTTGCTCAATAGGTTTTTAGCTTTAATATTAATCTTTCATTTTTGAAACCAAATATTCTCATTCTTTCTTGACTGCAACTTTGAAAGGTTTTAAAATAAACCAAAAAACAAGAAAGAAAACATATCTTTCATGCTTTCAAGATATTTCAAATCTGTTGATAGAAATTTTTCATGTTTTTTTTGATTTATTTGAAAACAATTGAGTTTAATTGTTAAATGAAACATAATTTTGATTGAATTATTTTAGAAGATGAACAAAAAACAATAAAAACTTCTTTTTTTTGTGTTCTTTTGTTTAGATACGGAAAGTATTAAGTGTTCGCGAAAAAAATCCAATTGATGAACATCCATTAAATTATGATGAATATAATCCATTTAATATTTGTACAGCATCCTATGTACCACATTTATCGGTAAGAAATTTAAAGAGGAAACCGAATTTAATTTAAAGTAATCTTTAATTCTTGTTAAGTGAGAATTCATTATCTGGTACAGCCCATTTACCGGATTTTATAGGACAATTATGTCGTGTTACAAAACCAACTGAAATTGGAAAAGAATCTATTGGTCTTAGAATTTCAATGAGTCAATTTTGTTAGAATAAAGAAAAAAAGAACTGTTTGTTTAATTCTGTTTCATTATTATTAACTTTTATTGCATATATTTATCATTTTGAAAAAGTAACTTATCATTAGAACGTTTTTCTTTTATTTTAAGATAAAGAAATCCGTTTCTAAAACGAGAATTTAGAATCACTACATGTGTTTGAAATAAGTTCACTTCAATAGACATTGAAATTCTATGATAATATACAAAAATAAATAATCTCGGTTTATAAAACGACATCAATGCAACTGAGTACTGTATAACTGTTTAAGAAATTTTATCGACATGATTTTATTTGAGATTCAACCTTTGCAATATCTCGATTGACTCACTCAATTAGTAACCTACGCACATCTATTAAGTCATTAATAAGACTAAGAGATAATTAAATGTCTAGCGATATCCTTTTGTTGTTTATAGATTTCTTCATATTGAAATAAAAATAAAAATGAACATTGAGAAATAAATTTCCATTCTAAAAACTAAAATGGAAGATAATAATGATGATGATTTTCTATTCAATGGTTTATTTTCCCCAATTGAAAAAATCTTCGTTGATTTCGATTGACTTTTCTCCAGTTTCGCAACTACAGAGTTTCAAAGTAACAAAAAAATGAAAACCGATTCTAAAAACGAATTTTCTTAAATTAATATCGTTTGTAGATAATCATCATGGTGATGAAAATCTTGACTCTACTATAGAAAAACATGATCTTAATGAAGCATTTCCAAGAACTTTTATAATAACAACAATGAAACGAGAAACAACATAATTGGAAAGATGTGTTGTTGAAAAACAAATTCAATAATCATTAAATCAAAATGAAAATAACAAAACTGAAACAATGAGTAAAATATGTGAAGATAAACATCATACAACAGTAAAACAAGATGGTAAAATAATTCGAGAATATGTAAATGCAACAATGAATGAATTAAATCAAATTGATAAAGACATTCGGATTTTTTTAAAAAGCTTTTTTCTTAAATAAAAGTTTTTTGTTCAAATGATCTACTAAAAATAAATGAAAGAAAATATTATTCGAGTTTGTTTTTTTTTGTTTTGAAAAAAAACATGCACTTGTCTCGCTGTTTTTTACTTAATATATTTTATTTTTTCTGCTTCGTCAAAACTAAATCTCTTTTCTGATTGAAAATAAACTTGTCGACAATACCATCATTTTCCTCACCAACGACAGAAAAAAAAAAGAAAAAAAGGTGTCAATTCAAGTCGGATGAACATCCAACAGCTTATAAACAACTAGAGAAAAACTTTTTTTTCCTCTAATCTTCATTTACAACTAACTCACAAATTAGAATATCAATTTAATCGTGTTATTAGTTTCTTTGAAAAAGAATCTACAAATATTTCAATATCAATCTTCAACATAAAGTAAATTATTTAGATACGTTGGATAATATATTAGTACCATTCATGGAGGAAGGAACTTTGCTTTCTTGATATTCTCATTAGTCATTGAGTAACACTGTTAAATAGGACATAAACGGATGCGAATAAAGCATTGTGAACATTAAGAAAGTTATTGTTCTCCTTTTCTTCTGACTATTATTTTCCTTTTATTTTCACTAATTCATTAAAAAAAGGGTGTATGTATTAATTTTCTTCTAATCTAAAGTCACATCCACACCCTCAAGTCTGATTATGAGAGTGATAGATTTTATCAGCACAGACACTAAACATTTACATGTCAGTCGGTTATCTAAGTCATGGTATGATAGGAAATTTGGATGTTTTGAAAAAAAAGACAATTGAAAATAAGATACACGAAAAGCAGTCGTATATATTGTTTATTTCTAGAAATAAAAGTCTCTGTGGTGACTAGTCTAAGGAAAAACATTGTTTTTTTTTATATCTCACAGTCATAATAGTGATAGACTTTGAACAACAGTTCTGATCAGTCTAATTCGATATCGATATGGCAACAGGCTATGCGCTGGAAAGAGTTGTAAAAACTGCGATGCTCGAAACAGGCTTCAAAATGGACAACTTTTTCATGGTATAGATTTGTCCGATCCGATAAAAATTTCGTTTACAAAGATTTCTTCTAGTTGTACTTGAAGATGATTTCGCCATCTTTGAAGAACTTGATACATGTAAATGAATATAACATGACATATCTTTCTAAAGACTTCTCACAAATTGAGTCTCAAAAGGACAATCAATACGTAAACGACCTTTCGACACTAATGTCCATTTCAGAGATAAGTGGCCGTGGGCATTTTTTAAATAACTTTTCATAGGAATTAGATAGAGACTTGCGGCTTTCACCGTTAGAAAGAGAAGATGAAGTTGCATCGAACCATATATAGAAAGATTTTTCTAACTACTTTTCTAATGGTTTTACATAAAACTTCAGGAAAAACAGCATGCCTCTCATGGTCGCGATATTAATTTATTGATTTTTAGAAGTGCGCTAGAACCGTCAAAGAAAGACCTACAAAACCATATCAGGATTCTATCCCTAGCTACTATCAGTGAGATATCCAAACCATCGGAGCACAATTTACCACCTTGTTTTTTCAAAAAAATGATCGAAAAATGTAAGTTTTTGTAGTATTTTGATAGAAAAATCACTTTTTTAACGTAGGAGAAAAAAGCAATTCTTTGAAAATGTTTGACTAATACCATTAGAAAAGTAGTTAGAAAAATCTTTCTATATATGGTTAGATGCATCTTCATCTGCTCTTTCTAACGGTGAAAACCGCAGGCCTCTATCTAATTCCTATGAAAAGTTATTCAAAAAATGCTCACGGCCACTTATCTCTGGAATGGACATTAGTTAGAAACTTATCGACCATTAACAACTCTATTTTGTGCTATGAAAAATTAAGTCTTGAGTCGAACTTTCATCCTAATTCCTTGTTTCGTTGTGATTTCTAGTTTATCTATTTATAAATAAATATCAGTAAGAATCATTAGTGTAATTGTCAATCTTTCATGTATATTATTAATTCAATAAGAATTATTACATTTCAATTCGTTTTTCTTAAAAAGAATATCAATAAAAAAAGTTTTTCACACAAACACTGAAATTAAAACATGAAATGAAACGAAACTGTGATATGGTATAAAAAATAAAATAATCAGTATATGTTTCAATTTATGAATCCGTACCTATTGTTAATAAATAGCGATCATGAAATGTATCACTTCCAGTATAGTGCAATGAGTATGAAGGAAAAGTAAAGGGCAATTATCATACTAAGCTCAGTTCTTGGATGAGAAGTACAGCAACAAGATTCAAGTGTATGGATATTGCTGGAATAAAATTTGAGTTAGGATCTGTTCAAGTCGAAGCCTGGAGCTAATAGAGTCCTGATTCAGTTTTTTGTTCTTCGGATCCACGAACATGTACACCACCTGCAACTGAATAACTTCAACAGTCCTTTTAGATCGTGTTTGATAAAATTTAAAAAAAAAGGTGTTTCATAATTTCTTTTGAAAAAGCTTGTTAGCATAGTCCATTTAATGTCGATATATGGAACTCATATATACCACCTAAGATAGAATAGTTGCTAAGATCTATAATGAAAACAGGAGTCGAAAACTTTCAATTTAAAATTTACACTCATTATATTCTTCGAAAATAAATGAAAGTTCTACAAAAAACACTCTTACATTAATTTAATAGAGTTGATTGCATAATATATTTTTCTATTTATCATGAGATAAAATCTTAATATCATTTTGATCATTAAATAGATGTATTAATTGTAATTATTATTTATTCAACATTTTCAATAGATAAATTTGGAAATATTTTTAATCAGTCAGATTTATGTTTAAAAAAGTTTGCATTAATCTTACAATCATTAATTTGTAATTCTCCGTCTCTTCTTTCTTGTATAAAATATATTCATATTGATGGAACAAATTCAAATTGTTATAATGTTATTTATCAATTTCTTTTGTTTTTTCATCATACTCAACAAGTTCTCTGTTTTTCTAATCTTGAATTTTTGAAAAAGTGTCGAAAATCAATTATGATTTGAAAGTAATTGTAACCTAATTCGAAAAATAGAATAAATTGATGAAATTCGAGAGTTTTTTTATTTATAGAAATCTCCTTCAACAGGCGCTTAAATTACCTGTTCAACACAGACTTACCGAAACTGGAACTAATTCTTTTCTTTAACCGACTACCAGAATCAAGACTAGAAATCAGAGCAAAATCTAGATTTAAATGAGATGTGGTGTTACTCTATGCGATTCTGAAGAAATCTCTTTACGAAAACCTCGACGATATTATGGACATATCACATTTATCTGGTTCAGATGACAACAAGATAAGTTTTATCAATTGTTTCTTATTTACTGACGAGAAAAAAGTTGAAAAAATTACGTTTGAATGCCTTCTTACTCTAACCCATATGCTTTTGCTAGAGTTTAAGGGCACTTTGTAAAACGTGTTGGAACGGGCGTTTTTTCATTAAAAAC